CCGGGGTTGGGGGGTGCCGGGGCAGGGGAGGGGATGTGCCAGGGCGTTTTTAGGAAATATTCACGCACCAGGTAGCGGTTTGGGTGAGTTTTCGTTCCTTCCTCCCTGATGCCCTCTGCAGCCTCCAGAAACGGGTCTCCTTCACGTCTTCTTTCACGATGAATTTGTCTTAGGCTAAATTAAAAGAAAAATAAATAAATAAAAAAGAAATCGTTGAATTAACCCCTCGAGTTGTTCATCGTAGCAGTCGCTTTCCAGGACTGTAAAGAGGCGGAACAACGGCCGGCGCGCGCCGGGGTTTTTTTTTGGCCCGAGCCCCCCGCGTCCTCCTCCGGTTGCTTTTCATTTCCCCCGGTTAAATCCCCGCCCGGTTAAATCCCCGCCGCGGCGCCGGCTGCGGGCAGGACGCTGCTAAACCCGGGGCGAAAGCGTGCCCCGCTTGGCTTTCTCGACCTATTTGTGCACTGAGATGCACTAATTCCTCCGCAAAGCCAAGGGTGCGCCGCTCTTAGCGCCTTCCTCCCCTCGCAGAAGAGCCGTTGCTATTAAAAAAAAAAAAATTTTGGGGGGGCCGCCTGCCGAAGCAGCACCGAGAGACCCCCTTAGGCGTAAAGCCCTCAAGGGGGATTTTTGGGGTTTTTTTTAACGTATTTCAGCCGCTTTGTACCCAATTTCTTTTTGGATTCTGGCAGGAAAAAAAGGGGGTGTTTAAGGGGTTTTTTTTTCCTAGGAGCTGGGGAGGCTCCCCAGCTCTGCTCGGTGCCGCATCCACCTGCAACCTCAGCCCGGGCGCTCCCTCCCCGCTCCCTCAACAACGGTTTTAGGAAATAATTTAGCGCTGGCTTTTCCGACCGTCTGTAGTAAAAAAATGTTATTTTTTTACCTTCCAAAATAGCAAACGAAACACAGATTTCGTCACACCCCCCCGAAGGAACATCTATATTTTTTATAAAACAACGATTCAAACGATCTCCCCGCAGCAGAGGGGGACGTGCTCTCACACACACGGCCCCCAAATGCCAACGCTCCCCCTGCCACCCCGTACTTGTCTTTGTCACAGCACAGGACGGGGATTTCTCGTTGCCGTTGTTTGCTCTGTTGGCTGCTCACCTCGGGAGTATTTTAAATAAAGAAAAAAAATCGTAAGGCTTTTAAATTACAAATATGTATAAGCGTTTGGAAGCAAAACGAAAAATGGGTTTGGTTTTGTTTTAAAGAAAGGAATCACTACATTAGACCGTGGGGACCGAGCGGAGAACTCTGCAGCCGAGCGCCCCGCAGGGGGCCGGTGTCCCGCAGCTGCGGGGCGGTTCCGTGGGGCAGAGGCGCTGCCGGCCCCGGGG